AAAAAAAAAAAAAGCTCCTTGGGAATTCCATGAATTTATTTATAATATTTACAAATCTAGGGAAAAAAAGAGATTTTTTTTTCCATTGGGACATTCCCAGATTCCCTGGAATTCCTCACAATTTCCAAAAAATCCTTTCCCCCACCTTTATCCTTCCTTCATCCAGATTTTGGGAAAAGATCCATCCTGGATGGATCCAACTGGGAATTTGGGAAAATTTTGGGAATTTGCCACTCAGTGCCATCGGATCTCTGCAGAAATTCTGGGAATTTGCCACTCAGGGAACCAGGAATTCCGGGAATTTTTCACTCAGGGCATCGAATCCAACCCAAACTTCTGGAAATTTCCCACCCAGGGAATTGAATCCAACCCAGAATTCCAGGAATTTCCTCCCCCCCCTCCAGTTCCCATTTCCCAGGATCACCTCTGGCACTTCCAGCACCTGGAGCTTTCCCAGGTCCATTCCATGAAATTTTTCCCAGATTTTCAGTACCCAGGGAAGGGTTCACAGATTTCCCAGAGTTTTTCCCGGGTTTTTTCAGCACCCAGGGGATGATCCCAGATTTCCCAGAGTTTTTCCCGGGTTTTTTCAGTACCCAGGGGATGATCCCAGATTTCCCAGAGTTTTTCCCGGGTTTTTTCAGTATCCAGAGGGGCCGGGGGGGGCCGGGATCCCGAAGAGCAGCGAGGCCTTGGCGTTGATGAGGAAAGTGCAGAGCAGGGACAGGAGCAGCACCAGGACACCCAGGGACAGGGTCAGCAGCTGGAATTGGGAATTCGGGGGATTTGGGATGTGGATTTAAGGATTTGGGATCCCTAGGATGGGGATTTAGGGATTTGGGGTCCCTGGGATGAAGGGGCAGAGCAGGGACAGGGTCAGCAGCTGGAATTGGGAATTTGGGGAATTGGGGATTGGGAATTTGGGGAATTTGGGGAATTGGGATTGCCCCAGGGTCCCTCCCTGGGCCATCCCCGGGGTCCCCATCCTGTGTCATTTCCCGTGTCCCCATCCCTGTCCCAGTGTCCCCTCCACGTGTCCCC